AGTTTTTGAGAACTCAATTTAAATTGTTCTTGCATATGGTTTACTATGAATACATAACAGTTTTCATGTGTAAACCTCTGAGTTGTTAATGAATATAATTTGTATCTATTATAATATTATTATTAGCTATTATTAGAAAATTTATGTCTAATAATAATAATAATTTATATCAGCCTTTTATGCAGATATTGCATCTCTAATAAGAAAAGTTCATCAATTACTAAATAAGACCAGCTAATAATTTTCTCCCTAATTTAGTTCAATTGCAGAAAGTTGATCCCTTGAAATCAAAGCAGCAGCTGGACTTGGAGCGTGCCCATTTCCTGGTTACCCAAGCTTTTGATGAAGATGAAAAAGGCAATAATGAGGAAGCTATAGAGTTATACACGGAAGCGGTGGAGCTCTGTTTGAAAACAGTACGTTAAGCTACCACTTAACTTGGTGGATTTATGTTATGGTAAGAAATCCTTCCCTTTATTCAGGTGACTTTCAGGTAGAAGTGTACATACATCCATATTTTCTTGATTGTTTTAGAAGCTTGGATATACTGTACCTGGTTAGGGCCAGCAAAGAAGACCATGAAAAGCAGTAAAGAAAACCTTTTTTTTATGGTGGGAAATTTCAATAAGATAATCAACCAACCACTGTTTTGTATCAGGATAGCCCTTTGAATTAGCTTCTAATTTTTATAACAGAAAATATTCTGTATGTACATACCCTTCACTCCTGGATAAAAAAGTGGTACCTGTGTTTCTATTGAAGAATGTTTTTGTGATTTGGAATACTGTTGAGAATTAATTGTCCTGAGCCTTTATTTCAGTGTTGTTGTTTTGTTTATTTAGTTATCAAATTGTTCTCTGCCCTTCTCACCACAATGTTATTTTTACCTTTTTCATATTAAAAGAACATTCTAGAACAATTTAGGTTTATTTATTTATTTATTGCATTTTTCCAACAAATGTGACAAAATACCATTACTGAAATAGGAACAGAAGATTTTAGACTTTGTGAGTCCACTTTCCCTGAATATTTGTGATTTCTACTTTTTATCCATTAAGTTAAATGTTAAGGGATGGGGAAGTTTCATTCAGTAGTTGTTGAAATCAGTGAAACTTCTCTATGGATATAATAAATTTTCTCTAGTGATTTCAGTGAAACTTGTGACCAGATAGATTATCCTGAACTGAATTTGAATTTGTAAAAACCTACTCCCAATAACTTCACTGTTTCATGCCTGAAACAAAAAAGAAACTTCAGAGCAGATAGGAGCATTCATACCTATCTATAAATCCCAAACAGCTCCTTTCCTTGAGTTAGGTAGCAGTTGTGGAGGATAGTTGGCTAGTTCTGGGAAAAGCACAGCACACCTACATACATTTGATTTGCAATTTCAGTCCAGTGTTAATACTTTGAATATTGCAGGTACCATTTTTTTATATTATTTTAGTGAGTACTATAGGCAAAACGTCTTAAAGGAAGAGCTCACAATCATGATGTAACTCCACCAAGTATGACTTCTCTCCTTTACCTCTCTCTTCTCCTCTCTTCTTCCCCTTCTTGAAAGAATTTTGGTATTTTGATTAAATTGAATTTAGTTTTGCTTTATTTCCTTAAATTCTTGAAATATCTCTTTTAACTATTGGCATTAACATCAATAGATTTGCTTTGTTCATTCATTAAAGCTGGACTTAATATAGGTGAAATAATTTTTCCTATACATGTCTATAATAATTATATGGTCAAGAATTGGAGGACCACACAATTGTTTTATTCTAATTGAGAATTATGGTTACTTAGACCAGTGGTCGCCAACCTGTGGGCTGTGAGAAAATTTTGGTGGGCCGCAGAGTAATCTCACCCCCAGAGCACCCCTCCAAAGCAATTAATCCAGGCTGCGAAGAAACACAAGGTTGCACAGCCCAAATGGCCTGCAGAAACCCTCCCTACCCACTCACTCCTTACCCGGCAAACTTGCCTGTTGCTATTTTTCCTTTTTCCGACCATTATCTGTGCTGTGCCAGAAGATTTAGATTAGCTAGGAAGCAGGAAATGGTTGATTTCTTGCTTTCTAGTTAGTCTTTAGATCTTCGGCTCTGTTTTTAAGCACAGCTGAACCTCCCTTAGGACTGAAGGTTCTATTATTCAGTGCAGACTCGCAGCAAGCAAATTTGAGAGATTGAGCTAGCTGATGGCAGATAGATAGATCACTGAATGATTCTGTGAGCAACTCAAATCTGCCTGCCAGCTTTGTTTGATTTTGGGTAAAAGTTGCTCTTTTTTAATAAAAAATTCAATATTTACATACATGGTGTGTTGTGAGTTAATTTTGTGAGTTTGCTTGCGAGCTAATTTTATGTGACAGACTGAGTTAGCCAATGGCAGATAGATAGAACTCTGAATGAATTCTGTGATTCTGTGAGCAACTCAATCTGCTTGCCTGCTTTGCCTGATTTTGGGTGAAAGTTGCTCTTTTTTAATAAAAAATTCAATATTTATATAAATATTTATAATATTTACATACAAGTCATACCCCAGTCACATGACTACCAAGCCACACCCACAAATTAGGTCACACCCACAACTGGTTAGTGGTCCCTGGGATTTAAAATTACGAGTTTGGTGGTCCCTAAGGTCCAAAAGGTTGGTGACTCCGACTTAGATGGTTGGGTTGATTAGAGCAGTGGTGTTTCTAATAAAGGAGAATATTTGTAGTCTAGAATTGAAATTAGTCTCCTTGGTGCTCTCTAAGATTGGTTGTTTTCTTGCAGACATTTCATTACCCAAACTAGGTATTATCCTCAGTGCTAGCAGCAATGCTAATTTGGGTAATATCTGCAAGAAAATGACCAAACTCAGAAAGTACCAGGGACCCATCATAGAGATATTTGTACGACAACTAGTCAAGTATATATTCATTTATCCAGTTCTATCCTTGCAGCATATGTACAGTAATTATGGTATAGTGCGCTTTGTGAATCACAAGTTGGGTTAACTGTGCGTAAGCAGACAAAACTGTTGTGGTGGCAATGAGCAAAAGTCTCAATTGCATCTCAGAATATCAAACCATAAATGTAGGAAATACTTAGTGGATTTAGTTTTTATCCACTGTATAATATTAGCTTCTAATTAGTTGTATCTGAGCAATTTTAGTTTATGTATTGGTAACTGAAGGTGCTAATAATATCCTGATATGATTATACCTTCTCCATTTTCTATAAACAGTTGTGTAGTTAAATGGAAAAGAAAATTTACTGACAGCTGATGGATTTTATAGCTTGTTTAGTAGACAATTTTCCTTCTTTTTCAATATTCCAGTCTAGTGAAGCATCAGAAACACTTCTCCAAACCAAACTGAAGCAACTAGCTCGGCAGGCATTGGACAGGTAAACTTCTTGGAATTTTGTACCTGTATATTATATGATAGCTTCCATTATTTCATCGCTTATAACATTGAGTTTGGTAGACATAGACAAGTTTCAACAACTAAAATGTTTCAAATTTATTCATAACTATCATTGCACTTTTATTTTTCAGTCTACAATTAATTTCTCTGCTAGTTTTGTAACTCACAGGTCATACAAAATAAAAATAAAAAGCAGGATTATTTATTTATTTTATTTATTTATTTGGTTTATATTGCTGCCTATTTGCCCATGGCAACTCAAGCCAGCTTACACAATGTAAAACCATATTTAAAACAAAAAATAAAAACAAAAACAATAAGAACTAACAAAAAGAATCAAGTAAATTAGTAAAGTACAATAGAACAAATTTTGGGAAAACAAAAATTATGAGGGTCACTTTCCAGTTTTAAGCAATTCAACTGTTGACTTGGTTGATTAGGAATCCTATGATATTTGTTCTGCAATAGCTGGAGAGCCTTAGGTTTCTCTACTTATGATCCTGATAACTATCCAAACTATGGCATAAAACATGTCTCAGGTATACAAGAAGACATTTTAACTGTTGATGAATATTTTTTTCAGTCTGATTTGTTCAATATTGATATAAAATAAGGCTTTATATAATTATTAAAGCAGAAATCTTCTATATAATCATAGCGCATATACAAATGATTTAGGTTTGTGTAAAGTAAACTTGGAATAATTGAGTTGAATTTAATTCCCAGCTACTCATCAATTTAGTTGGTGAGAGCAAAATCCACAGTTTTGTTTGACCCTTGTGGTTTTTATGTCTGTAGAGAAACACATAAAAGCAAAGGTTTAAGAATGAACTCACTCTTTTTGCTATGTCACAATTGCCATTTCCTTTAACTTAATTGTAGAGCTGAAGCCCTGAAAGATTCAAAGCCATCTCAAAAAGACAAGCCAGCTCCAGTGAAGCAAAGTCAACCAGTTAGAACTTTTTCCCCATTGGGACCTGATTTTTCCTTGAATGATAAGCCACAGTCCATCAGACCTGTTCATGCTAGTGAACCTCAAGGTCAGCGATATACTGTGGATGAGATCCAAGTGCTCAGGTAAGGAAAGGAAAATATATTCCGCAACATGCTTATATAAAATGTAGTTTAATCTAGGTTACAGTCTAGTTTATTGAATAGTCTAACTTTTAAATAAATGAGTGTAGACTTTCATGCTGAAAAATAGAGAGATAAATGCAGCAGATTGTCTATATCAGTGGTCGCTAACCGGTGGGCTGCAGCCCACTGGTGGTCCGTGAGAAAATTTTGGTGGTCTGCAGAGAAATATCACCCCCAGAGCATCCCCCAAAGCAATTAATCCAGGCTATATAGGAACACAAGGCTGCGCCACCCACATGGCTGACCCGCGGGAACACAAGGCTTGCGTTGGAATAACAAGATAGTGAGGGGAGGGGGGTAAAGGGCGGAGGGTAGAAAGTTGCCTGGCCACTGGGCTGCTTCTTTCCACTTCTTTCTTCTAAGCAGGTTAGGAATGAGGGTGCATGTGTTTGTGAGGGATCTCTGTTTTAGATCGGATCTCTCTCTTCCCCTCCCCCTGAGAATGGAGCTCAAAAGCAGGAATGTGGCTGCCTTGGAGGGTGTGTGTGTGTGTATGATCTTTGCTCCCCCTGAAAACAGCACAAAAGCAGGAATGCCTTGGAGGGGGTGGGGTAAGTGAGGGATCTCTATGTTTGTGTGTGTGAGAAAGGGGGGGTTAGATCAGATCTCTCTCCCTCTCCCCCCCCTCTCCCATCAATGTCAACAAGCCACTGTTAGTCAACATTCATATTAGTGGTCCTTGGGATTTAAAATTATGAGTTTGGTGGTCCTTGAGGTCCAAAAGGTTAGCGACCCCTAAGCTACATAGACTACATTTGTTATTTCATAATTCTTAAAATCAGCAGGCAGACATGCTTATTGATGAGTATATTCAAAATATCAGGAGGTTAATCACATTTTCTTTAGGAAGCAAATTAAAGAAAAAAAACTGTTGCTAATATTATGATCTGAAACTTCATATCAAGCTTAGCTCTGGATAATTTATATAGACACATCCACATCCATCCATCTTAGAAAAGTTTATTGCTCCACCTTCTGATTTTAACCGTTGTCTAAGTCAGAGTTTCCCCAACCTTTCTGGGTTGACAGCATGTGGGTGGGGGGGTAGCTACAATGTATGTATGTGAGTGACACAAACGGGGCCGCAAGTATGCGCATGGCATACATGGAGTCAGGAGCGTCTGTGCAATGCTCATGGGGAAGCTAGTGTGGGTGGGGGGCATGCACACTGGCCAGCCACTCACATGGTCTGGTGCTCAACAGGCCACGGCCTGGTAGTAGGCCGCAGCCCACAGGTTGGAGACTCCTACTCTAATCTGACCCTGAAATTCCCAGGTAATCCCTCTTAACTTCCTTCATTAAACAAGTTCAGCTAGGTACTTTTTTGAGGTTGGAATAATATTGCATAATAAACAACTGAATCAGCTTTCTTCAAGCTGCTCCCTTTCAGAAGTGATGGGCTGTAGATATTCAGAATAGGATTCATGGAGATTTGAGGAGTTGGTACTCATTGTACGACAGGGAGCAATAGCATAGGAAAGGCTAGATCTAATTGATCTATTCTAGAATCACATTTTTATATTTTTAAAATAATTATATGTATTATTTTGTTTAAAGCAATACAGGTAGTCCTCAGCTGGGAGAGCAGTTTCCATGGCTAAGCAGGGAGGTCATTAAGTTGTGCCACTGGAGTTTTTAAGTTAATCATGTGGTTGTTAAGCATATCTGGCTTTTCCCATTGACTTTGCTTGTTGGAAACCAACCAGAAAGGTTGCAGATGGCAATTACATTACCCCAGGATGCTGCAACCATTGTAAATACATGCTGTTTGCCAAATGTCCAAATTTTGATCACATCATCTTGGGGATGCTGAGATAGTCATAAATGCAAGGTCTGGTTATAAGTCACTTTTCCAGTGCCATTGTAACTTTGAATGATTACTAAATGAATTGTTAGTGGAGGACTACCTGTGGAAGCATCTAAGAGGAATGCTACAGGAACTGGCTGGTTCATTTGAAAGATAAGAGTAATCTGGTTGTGAGAAAGTGTTTTTCTTATTAAGAAATTCTTTATTACTAGATATTTTCACCTTAAATTGAGGTAGAAATGTCTACTTACTTGGGGGAAAAAGACAATTTCAAACTCTAAGTATGAAGGTGCCCTGTGGCAGGGGTCTCCTACTGTCAATCTGTGGATCAATGCCAGTCTACAGCCCATTGGGAATCAGGTGTGCAAGTGGCTGTCAAGCATGGGAAGCTCCATTTACACAAGCAGTCTTCATACATTTGAAGCCATCCCTTCCCTCCGCCCTCTGCTGCCAGTCCACAGAGCAGAAAAAGTTGGGGACCCTATGGCAAACATTTACTGTGTGATAGTATTTGAAAAGACTACAGGTAATCTCCAGGTTACAAGCGTTCCCTTAGCGAATGTTCGAAGTTACCCAATAAGCGCCCCTTAGTATTTACGAACAAGTCCCAAAACTATGTATCTTGTAGCACCAAGGCAATTGTTCACCCTTGCAAACAAGCGCAGAGGCTATGCAACATTCGCCCGCCCCTCCACACCTCCATTTTGGCCTACAAAGTGCTGGGCGAGGCCTAAATGGAGCTGCAGAGAGGTGTGCATGGCTGAGAGGCTGGAGAGGAGACAGCTTGCTAGGTCTTTGCATGGTAAGTGACTTGGTGCGGCAGGTTAGGTGGGGGGAAGCATTGTGAGGAGAATGAGGTATTTCAGTGTGTCGAGGAGGCCTTGGGTGGTCTTAAGTGTGTTCCATCGCTAGGCCTCATGTGAAATACCTCGTAAATCCATGGGCAAAAAGAGGGAGTGATCCCTATTTGAGGTATGAGATTCCCTTCCACCAATCCTCAGGTTATGAATGGAATGGGCAGGCTTCATTTCATTTGCAACTCGAGGACTATCTGTATATGGGAATTCTAGAGCTCTTAAATTAGGAAGTTGAAAAAACTTCCTGGAAAAAGACCATAGCAACCACCTTGTAATAACATCAAGAAAAATACATGGATGTAACCCTAGAAATTGTTTAATGTCTACACTTGCCATAACCAAAGGGATCTAGGGTCTTCCCAGCAGGAAATTTATTTAAACACAGTTTTTAAGCTTTTCAAAGTGATCATCGTGTAGTTTTAATTATTCTATCACATATCTCCATTGCTCTGTCATTTTGAAAGGTGGAATATTGGAATACTTTTAAAACAATAGCTTGTTCTGTAAACAGGACTTTCAATGCAAACTGGAAAAAAATATGCTGAAGAATTATGTTTAATTAAGGTTTCATAGCAGGAAGGGACCCAAATACTAGGCAGAACAAATCCACATTAAGCAGTTGGCATAAAGAGAAAGAAGTTGTAAGGACCTGCTTCTCCTTCCCGTTCAAGAAAGCATGGACTCTTGAAACTTTAGCACTTCAAAAAGAAGCTTTTATTGAAAAAAAGTGATGCAGGACAATGCAAAGCAGGGTCTGAGTTCCCCAGGCAATTCCATTAGGATAAAGTGGTTAGAAACCCCTCCCCTCAGTCTGATGTTGAATGAGCCATTCCACAAGTGCGAAGATGTGGAAAAGGTCATCCTGAGAAAGAGACAAGGAATCTTTCCTGTGCGCTTCTTCTGAGAGAAAACAGATGGCCCTCCCCCCTTATACATTCCTCAAAGCACAGGCAAAGTAGGTGATGGTAAAAGTTATAAACTAGGAAAATTACAGGATACATAAGAGAGAGGATGAGAGCAATACATTTGTAACAGAATCCAGGTTCCCTCCCCACGTGAATGGCAGTATCACGATAGGAATCTGACAGAAGTAGAATTTGAACAGTCTGTTTTTCTAATATCTTACTCTTTGTATTTAGGAGGACATCAAAAATAAATGGCATTGAATATGTCCCTTTCATGAGTATTGACTTGAGAGAACGTTTTGCTTTTCCAATACCTTTCTCGTAAGTTTATCTTTGTACTCACCAAATACTTTTTTCACTCTCACCATTTAGAGCTTTCAGTGTTGTTGAACTGTGATACTATAATAAACTACCATGACTGGTATGTGTATATGTATGCTGTATATCTATGTATGTGTGAATGTGAAGATAGATGCACGAATGGACAAACAGATGGATTTTTTAAAAAATTGCTCACAATCTAATTATTCAAAGCAATTTTTCAAATTGTGCTGTTTTGGAAAAAATATACAACTTTATGTGCTATATGAATAATATCACATTAAGCCAAATCTGAAAAATTGCTGTGTGGTGCACATGAGTAAGCCATGTTTAAACAAACATGGAAATTAGTAGTACATTCCAGCAATCTTTCTTCCCTGTGTTCTCTGACATTGCGGTTTTCAAGGTGACTGATATTCTATTTATAAATATTTTTTTATTATTTTGTATCACAAATTCCATGTCTATATTGAACAGTGTGTTTTCTAGGTGTCCAAAGTGTTAAAATATAAACATCATCACAACCATTATAATTATGTACATACAAACATAAGATAATATCAATCATTAGAAAGTATACTCTCTTCCATATTGACATCAGTTATATAACCATTAAAATACTTACTAGTCAGTTTTTCTTTCCCATGTAGTCCATATTTTCACATAAATCCACTCATCTAACTTCTGTATCTATCTACTAACCATTTATAGAAAAGTTCCTATGTTATAAAATATTCTGAATCTTCTTGTTTCTTTAATTTTTAGAGTTAACCCATCCATTTCTGCACGTTCCAGAGTCTTTTTGATTATATTATCATCTGTAGGGGTTTCTTCATTTTTCCAGTATTGTGTGTATTCAATCCTGGTTGCTGTTAGAATATGTAAAATTAAATATGTATTTATTATAGTTTTCTGGTAGTATGTCCAACAGGAATGTCTCAAGTTTCAAGTCTATATGTTGTTTTGTCATAGTTTCCAGCCACATGTGAATTTTCTTCCAATATTGTTTTGCTTTGAGACAGGTCCACCACAAATGATAATATGAACCTGGTGTTTGGTTACATTTCCAACATTTAACAGATTTATTTTTATACATATTTGCTACTCTTGCAGGTGAATAGTGCCATCTATAAAACATTTCATAGAGATTCTCTGTATACGCTGTTCACATTGTAAGCTTATAATTTCTATTCCATAATTTCTGCCACCTGTCCAACTGCATAGCCAAAATTCTTAGCCTAAGTTATCATAGTTTCTTTTACTTGTTCCTCCTCCAATTTGATAGTTAATAGATAATTGTATATCCTCTTAATTAAATTTTCATCTGTTCCCATTAGAATATGATCTAGTTCATTTGATTCATTATAAAACCCATACGCCTTCCTATCTTTTTCATATCTGGATTGTATCTGTAATTGTGGCCATCATGATAGGTCAATCGCTAATCTTTTTAGTTCTTGTTTTATTTTTAATTCTCCTCTTTCGTTTAGTATGTCCTTATAGCTTATGATTTTATCCATATTTATAACATTAGAATATATCCATGCCTCCATGGCACTTTCAGGTAGTGTTGCTCTTTTTTTGATCTACTAGCAGTAATGCATTTCTAATGTAATGCCTCTGGAAGTAACTATGTATCTTAATCTTCTCGTATCATAAAAAGGCATGCCAACCCAGTTGCAGATCATGATCTTCCAGTGTTAATAGCCTTGTATTCCTCAAATTAACCCACTCTTTCACCCATGTAAGTACTAATGCTTGGTAGTATAGCTCCCAATCAGGAAGACCAAAACTTCCTCTACTTTTAACATCTTTTAACGTTTTTAATTTTATTCTTGCTTTTTTTCCTTGCCCTACAAATTTTAATATCTTATTTAGTTCTTTGAAATGTTTTTCCCCAGGTTTTTGGGGATCATCTGAAACAGGTATAATAATATTGGCAGAATATTCATCTTAATTGTAGCTATTCTATCCAATAGGGACAATTGTAGGTTTTTCCAATTTTCCAAATCCGTTTTAATTTGTGCTTTCATTTATCATAGTTATCTTCTTTGGGAGATACACAATTTGCTGTTAATTGAACCCCTAAATATTTAACTTTCTTTACAATTTGCATGTTCATCATTCTCCCTTCTGTTTATCTGTAAAGTTTTTAACCAATATTTTTGTTTTCTCTATTTATAATTTTCAAACCTGCAACTGCCCCATATTCTATCTTTGTAATTAATTTAGGTCCTGTTTCCTGTGGGTCTTCTAAAATAAACACCAAGTCGTCAAAGGCCTGTAACTTATATTCCTCCTTAATTCTCATACCTTTTATTTCACTATCTTGTCTGACATTTCCGGCTAATACCTCTAAGGTTAATATAAATAACAGTAGGGATAAAAGACAACATAATCTTTCGTTATGTTGAAATTCTCAGTCATATCACCATTTATAATCACCTTTGCTGTTTGTTTATGGTATAGCATTTTAATCATGTTAATATTTTTTTCTCTGAAGTCCATATATTTTAATTGTAAAAACATAAACTGCCAACTCAAAATTATCAAAAGCTTTCTGTGCATCAAGAAAAATCAGTGCCATCTGCTTTCCTGAATGTGTCTCATAGTATTCTAGTGTGTTCATCCACATATTATTTTTGATTTGCCTCATAGGTAGAAAGCCGTTCTGGTCTGTGTGTGTAAAGTCATTCAGGGCTCAGGTGACTGATATTCTCATAGGCTTCTGCCAATAGAACAGATGTTCAAGTGTGGAGAAGCATTTGAATCTGACTCTCTGCAGCCAGTTTTCTTTTTCTTGGAATGTTTCCCCCAAGGTTTATTATAGAATGATTTAAATTTATGTCAGCAAATTACGTATCAGTCTGGCAATCTGTTAAAGCAATGGCTTCTTGCAGTGTATTTTCTAATGAACTTTTACCATACTTCCTTTGACCTCTTCCAGACGCTTTATGTCTGAAATATGAACCTGAATAGGTGTAGCAGGAATTTTTGCTCTCTTTCCTCTTTTAAAAGCTAGAACTCTTTCCAGGTTTGGAGGGAAAATCCCAAAAAAGTCATCTTCTGGATTACCTCAAATAATCACCCCAAATAATAGTTGTAAACTATATTTTGGAATTGCCACAATTCTGCTCACCCTTTCTGTAAGTTAAATGTCTCCCCAAAGACTATCTGCTAACACTTGTTTACATGTTGTGCTAAGTTATTGAATAAGACATACTAGCTTTATTCACACATAATATCAGATTATAAATCATGGTTTACGAACCATAAGGGTAGGGTTTATCCATTGTACTAAGCTATATTGTGTTAGAGTTAGTCTTAGTTTAGCATGATGTAGATCTTAGCCAATGAGGGAATATCTTGTGTCTTAATAGAACCAGGGTAAGTTAGAGGACATGTCCAAGAACCTCAGAAATAAAAAAA